TCAGTGATTCTTTTTTTACAGTGAACCTTTGATGTGCAACTCAACACTAGTCATGTCTAGAGACTAGAATACCATATAAACTGCATAGCAATGTAATAATACCCACACAGAACACTTTAGCAACCACCCACAACACCTTAACCTAGTGATGGTGAGTTCTGTTTGCACTCCACTGTAAATCTAGTTAGGGTCTTCTCTTTTCATCCAGGCTAATCCGATTTTTTTTTCCATCCCTCAGTTTTCCCTTCATCTGATCCTCCTCTAGTTCCACCGGCTCAACTGGCAACACTTCTAGCCAATCCGAGTGAGGATCTGGAGTGTTCCGGAAGGTTCCGCCTGACAGTCGATCTCCCTAACGCGTGGACGGAGGTGCGCAGGCTGGAGGGCAGGGGTGGGAGGTCAGAGGTCAGCCCTGGTGGCTAAGCTTTAGCAAAAAACACGGCTTTGACAGTCTGAGCGACACACTTTCTTCTCGCTGACATGGAAAGCCTCAAAGCTCATCAAAAACAAACCGTTCCTCTGCTGATTAACATAAGAGATCTGGTAGAGCATAATAGTAAATTAATTAAACGCATCCTTTCCAGATAACTTTCTAAATTATATTGTCTTCTATGCAAAATAAATGTTGTTATGAAATGACTTAAAATTTTAACTAAAACACCTCAACAGAAGACAATAGTGTCATTCTTCAGCTCAATTCAGTTCGATTTTGATTCAATTCACTGTAGTAAGTGTCAATTTTGCATAGTTCATCAATTAAGACGCCAAGTCTAGGAGAAAAAATTTAGATTAAAGAGATGTTATCATCATTTTTTTTGGTTTTTGACGCTCGATAAAAAAGCAAATAACGAGAAATCCAAATGTAAACTAACAGCGCATCATATTTCACACCCTTTTCTGACGAAATAGACAGAAGTGAAACACTTCATTGGGCAATACCAGGCTCAAACTATGAATGTGAATGTAATGCTGTGATGTAAACCTTTTTAGTACATGACAAAGGGTTTTAGAAGCAGAACGAAAGCAGATGAAATAAACTAATATGTTTGTCTAAATAAAATGTTACAGAGAAACTTCTGAAAGATGATTCAATTCAGACTAACAAAGAGCAAATATAATATCCAGAGAGAATGAAGAAGCTGTGAGTGTGTGTGTGTGTGTGCGTGTGTGTGTGTGTGTGTGTGTGTGTGTACGCGAGTGCGTGTGTGCGTGCGTGCGTGTGTGTGTGTGTGTGTGTGTGTGTGTGTGTGTGTGTGTGTACGCGAGTGCGTGTGTGCGTGCGTGCGTGTATGTGTGTGTGTGCACAGTGTTGACAGAGTGTTTTGGTATGTGATCCTCTGGTGTCTTTGGTGTAGAGAATGCCGTGTTGGCTCACACTCCTGGTGTGTGTTTCAGCAGTCAGGTTAATGACTTTGACCTCTGTGATGAATCCCTCCTGTTTAGTGAAACTCAGGAGATAAAGATCAGGATCTGTGTACCTGTGTCAAAAAATGACACACACTTTGATGACAAACCGGAGGACAGCAAAAACAAGTGATGAATTATGTTGAACATGGTGAAAGTGATGTAATCTCACCAACGGTCAACGCCACCTTTGATAGACTATTTCAAAATGTGTATCTGGCAAGCAAAATAAGGTAAGACTTTACAATAAAGACCTCATTTGTAAACATTAGTTAATGCATTAGCTATAGCAATTTTTTGTTCATTGTTTGTTTATGTAAGTTCACAGTGCATTTTATAATGAAACAAAATGAAACCGACATTGACAGTTGTTGTTTTTCATGGAATATTGCAGTATTTATTATGATTTATCTGTGCACATCATAATTTTTTTTAATTCATGTGCCCTCTTAATCCTCAATCAAATCACGGGGCGGGGCAACCTGTCACTCACATGAGATCCACCAATAGCAAACCACAACCATCCAATCAATTCCCCACGAACACAATCAAGCCCTGTCCTACATTTGTTCTTGTTCGAGAAGCTGTTTCACTCAGATATACATCACAATAGGACAAAAAAACTATCGCAACTTCCATTTCATGCCGACGTTTTATTTTTAAAATGCATTGGTAAATGTTAAAATTTACATTACCAATAAATGATAGAATTCACATTAAAAATTAAACATTTTAATTCACATTAACTAATGTAGTTAACAAATGTTAACAATTGAAACCTTTTTTGCAAGTGCTACCCAAAATCATTGCAGTGGCATATGGGAAAAAAAGCCTTAATCTTAATATTTACTATGTTTAAAACATACACTATGATCCAATGCAGATCCTAATAAATCAAAACATCTCAAATAAATCAATAACAGTCTGGACAAAAATAAACAAACATTCTAATGTAAATACGTACAGCTAAACAATGTATCTTTGCCTATTAATAATTATTCACTCATCAGGAGGCTTTTATTCAAAGTGTTTTACAAGCATGAACCATTCATGCTACTTTTTATTTTTAGCTCATCCTTTCAAAATGAGCACAATCCACTATCTATTGTCTTTCAAAGTTTGTTTATTGATTACCTTGGCATGTGGACATGTTTCTCTAGGATTACACTCACATTCTGCAAGCGTTTGGCTCCCTCGAGTGTTTCTTCATGGAACAGCATGACCAGGTTAAGGTGACAAAATGTATCACTGTTTTGATCAATTTAATCCTTGCTGGATAAGATTACTATTTTTCAAATGCTTTTCAATAGTGTTTTTCACAAATAAAAAAACAACACTGATAATAATCATACAGTGCTATGTTGTGAATTAAAATAGCCCCACATCATCACACACCCTTCACCATACATAGAGGTTGGCATGGGTTATTTCAGTTAGGCTAATAGCTGGTTTGATTTGCATTGAGAGATGATCTTATGAAAGTACCCCATGCCTGTCTCTAGGTATGGTGAAGGGTGTGTGATGATGTGGGGATATTTTAATTCCAAAGGCCATGGGAACTTTATCAGGATGCATACTGTAGTATCCTGATCCATGAAATAACTGGCTTTAAAAATAAAGATCTTCCTGCCTCTATGGGAATTTAACATAGGGGTGTCCTGACTTATGCACTCTGTATTTTAAGGAAGAACATTTATTAACTTACGATACATTTTTCATTCACAAAAAAAATGAGTGTCCTTAAAGGTTGGATTTTTCCTACTTTTAAGACATTAAGATTATTTTTTATTCCTCTTTTTAGGCAACTTTAGCATGGTGTCTAAACTTATGCATATACTGTAAATGTTTCTCGAGCATCAAATCATCATATTAGAATGATTTCTGAAGGATCATGTGACACTGAAGACTGGAGTAATGATGCTGAAAATTCAGCTTTGATCACAGGAATAAATTACACTTGCACTTTATATGAACATACAAAACAATTATTTTAAAGTGTGTTATTTCACAATATTACTATTTTTACTGAATGTTTTATCAAATAAATGCAGCTTTTGTGAGCAGAAGAGACTTTTTTCAAAAACACAAAAATATCTTAATTATTAAAAAATGTTGACGGGTAGTGTATTATACACTCACCCAAAGGATTATTGGGAACACCTGTTCAATTTCTCATTAATGCAATTATCTAATCAACCAATCACATGGCAGTTGCTTCAATGCATTTAGGGGTGTGGTCCTGGTCAAGACAATCTCCTGAACTCCAAACTGAATGTCATAATGGGAAAGAAAGGTGATTTAAGCAATTTTGAGCGTCGCATGGTTGTTGGTGCCAGACGGGCCGGTCTGAGTATTTCACAATCTGCTCCGTTACTGGGATTTTCACGCACAACCATTTCTAGGGTTCAGAAAGAAGGTGCAAGAGCTCACCAAAATTGGACAGTTGAAGACTGGGAAAATGTTGCCTGGTCTGATGAGTCTCGATTTCTGTTGAGACATTCAGATGGTAGAGTCAGAATTTGGCGTAAACAGAATGAGAACATGGATCCATCATGCCTTGTTACCACTGTGCAGGCTGGTGGTGGTGGTGTAATGGTGTGGGGGATGTTTTCTTGGCACACTTTAGGCCCCTTAGTGCCAATTGGGCATCGTTTAAATGCCACGGCCTACCTGAGCATTGTTTCTGACCATGTCCATCCCTTTATGGCCACCATGTACCCATCCTCAGATGGCTTTCTCCCGCAGGATAATGCACCATGTCACAAAGCTCGAATCATTTCAAATTGGTTTCTTGAACATGACAATGAGTTCACTGTACTAAAATGGCCCCCACAGTCACCAGATCTCAACCCAATAGAGCATCTTTGGGATGTGGTGGAACCTTCATGCCCTGGATGTGCATCCCACAAATCTCCATCAACTGCAAGATGCTATCCTATCAATATGGGCCAACATTTCTAAAGAATGCTTTCAGCACCTTGTTGAATCAATGCCACGTAGAATTAAGGCAGTTCTGAAGGGGAAAGGGGGTCAAACTCAGTATTAGTATGGTGTTCCTAATAATCATTTAGGTGAGTGTATGCTGTATATTAATAAATATTTCTTAAAATGGTGAAATCTATTATTATATTAATTAATAATATATTTGTGGACATTAGACTATTTGAACCTCTTGTGTGTGAGTGTAAGATGTCGAGCAGCACCACGGACAGCTCCACACACCACAGACTGTCCAAATGACCCGAAGGACACCAGACAGAACTCAACTACTGAAATATTTCTACAATATTTAAATGCATTTACATGGAATAATATAAGTTCCATGTAGTTCTGTGTTCAAAAGCAGTATATATGATACAGGGTTTTTTCATGTAGGAGTAGAAGAAAACTCACACTTCAGCTCTATTTAAAGCCTGTGGGTTCACAGGTTTAGATGTGTGAACATGAGTCGTGTTAAAGATCATCATCTTTGCTGCTAAACTATTTAAGTGTGCAAGAACAGAGGCTGTGAGACTTGCGCGACTTGCGTGGAACTAAAGTCTTTACTTAATTTTCTATAATCAGTTCGCCTTTCATTTTGGGTTTGTGAACTCTGCATGAATATGCATCTCTTTATTGTGCGCATCCTCGCTGTGCTGCTGGCGTCGAGCTGTCCATTCGCCATTTCTGAAGTTTTAGAAACTTTTACTAAATGTAGCGAGTTTTTCTTTAAAGGACAGCCTCCGGAGATTTCTAGCATCCTGGATTCACGCTCTAAAAATAATCATTACAAAATCATCTGTCAAAAATATCATAATATGTACACATTTGCAACATTCTACAACGCAGAAAATAGGATTCCTGTTTTCTCAGCTTACAAATATACTGGGAAAATAAGTAAAAGACCAAATATTCCATGGATGGTTGAGCCTCAGGTGAGGAGTTTCAAAGCAGTTTTTTCTGTGATCCAGAGAACATAATTATGTTTCAGATGTATTTCCAGGTTTATATTATATATTTATCTGCTAACATGCTGATTTTATTGTTAATTTAGTTTACATTTTTCTGTATGTGTATTTTGGCTTCCGTTTAATCATGTAGATGTTCTTAATTTCATGTCAGAATTGTATGAATCTATTCAGCTCTGATTTCCATAAATTTTTTAAATGAACAGTTCACCCAATTATTTTTTTAATTCTGTGATTATTTACTCACACTCCTGTTGTTTCAAGCCAGCAATAAAAAAAAAAATTATGGAAATTTCAGCTAATTTAATTTGAATTGTATCTTGTATTAATTGTATCTTGTTTCTCTTTCTTTTAAACATTTGTTCTTCAGCTTGATCCCGCTGTTGATGACATGACTGTGCCATATCCAAATCAGGCCATCAATGAAGACTTCTTCAATAACTACGGATTGAATCGCGGTCACTTGTTTCCCAGCGGTCATGCAGGTGATGATGTCACTGCCGAATCTACATTCACGCTGACCAACGTAGTGCCACAGAAGATCAGCTTTAATGCCGGCAGTTGGAATCGCATGGAAAGGGAAATTTCAGACATCATGAATAAACATTGCTGTGACAATAATAAAGTTTTAGCCCATGTGCTGACCGGAGCAATACCTGGGAACAATAAACTGAATGGGAAAGTGAACATTCCCTCTTACATGTGGACGGCATTCTGCTGTTACAACAGTGCAGCGAATACATTTGTCTCCCAAGCTTACTGGGCCCTAAATGTAGATGAACACAAAGAAAAAACGATCATTAAAAATAGCCTGCAGAAATTACAGGAATTTCTGAGTCAACAACTGAGGACAAAAGTACAGCTGTTTAATAACAACTGTGCAAAAAAGCGTTCAAACTAGCAGAAGGATGCAGAATCACTGAACTATCATTTACTCAGTTTGATGAGAAGTGTCAAAATGCTTTTATTTACATGTAGCTCTTCCAAAGTCATAATATAATCCTGCCTTTAACTCTTTATCATGTCAGTTTTAGTATAAACATTTTTTAAAAATACATTACTTTGAAAAATATGTCTGTGTAAATTGTTCTAATAAAGCTTGTGCAAATGTTGGCGTTTCAGAGTCATTTCACTGTCTAAAGGGAAGTTGGAAGTAGTGGGGTGAATTAAAAGTCCTTTAGGGTTAGTTCAAACCCCCCCCCAAAAAAAAATCAACAAAAAAAAAAAGCAAAATTTTATGACAAAATTGAGAATATTTTGTCATCATTAACCCTCATATAACTTTCTATAATGAACATATTTAACCCAGGCTTTTATTCACATATAAACATTGATCAGCGAACAGTGTTTACAGCGCTCACATAACAGAAGCTCAAGCACGTTTGCTTGATGTGCGAGAAACAACAAGGTTCATTCACACGTGTCAGTCTGTTCGTCATATAAATAGATAATGTCTCTTCATTATCTTGCACTCATAAAAATGATTTTGTGGTGAAGTAAATACTACAGAAAAAAAAAAACAATGTAATTTACAGTTAGTTCAGGCAATAATAATAATAAAAAAAAAAAAATTCTATATTAGTAGGCTACTCAATTTAAGCATGTAGAAATGAAAGCGTAAATATCAACGTTATAAAATTAAGTAAAATGACTTTTCTGAAAATGGTGTTCCCAGCATGCACTAGGCCTTGAATAATTAACAAGGTGGATTTTTCACAGTTTTCCAGCTGTATTTACATCGTTTTATCATTGCTATTGTTGTTAGGACTAGTAATTTGCCATTTTGTGAGTGCCATTTTTGGAGTTAATTTTCTACTCAAAATGACACATTCAAACACAAAAATGTTGTATTATTAAAATTTTGTCATTGTGTATTATCTAACAATTAAGTATTGAGGTCTCTGCATTCACATAACTCATTTATTCTGAAAGAAGTGTGTGTGACATCATATCCATATTTACTTACTTACATGTTTCAAAGTAAAGCATATACTTTGAAAATGTGGTTTATTTCAATGTTACATTGTGTGACTGAAATGTATTGCAAAGTTATCTACAACTAGATGGATTATATTAAACCTTTTACGAGACAAGTTAAAATTACTTAATTTCTTTTGTTCTTTCACTTATCTAGAGTTGAAGATACATGCAATGGAGGGACATAAATCAGATTTCATTAAAAATACCTTTATTTGTGTTCTGAAGATAAAGGAAAGTCGTATGGTTTGTCTAAAATTTGTTCTCATTATATATCCTCTTAAACCATACATGATGATGTGTCACTTAAAACCAATGTGTTTGCAATAAATTCATCTCTACGCTAGTTGCTCTAATTTTTAAATCTGCATTAACTTCTTTAGGGCAGGACTTGATTTTGTGCTTGGGGAATTTATTTGATGGTTTGGGTTTGTGAGTGACAGGTTAGAGAAGAGAAGAGAAGAGAAGAGAAGAGAAGAGAAGAGAAGAGAAGAGAAGAGAAGAGAAGAGAAGAGAAGAGAAGAGAAGAGAAGAGAAGAGAAGAGAAGAGAAGAGAAGAGAAGAGAAGAGAAGAGAAGAGAAGAGAAGAGAAGAGAAGAGAAGAGAAGAGAAGAGTTGCAGCAAGGGGTGTGAAAGAAAACGTAACATTCAAAATTATGTGTGACAGTTTCTCAAAATATGTGCTATGTATGAGTTCACAGAATTAGATGTGAACTCAAGTATTGTAGAAAATGATTCTTAAATAAAAAAAAATGTTGGAGTATCAGTATTATTGCATGCACAATTGCATGTGTAAGTTATTTAAAAATATTTTAAATAAAATGATGACCAATTATAGAACCTATAAAATTTCCCTTAAACACAGGTGTGAAAGAAAACTTAACACTCAAGTTATGTGTGACTTATCTTCTTAGAATGTGTGTGCAACTTGAGTTCACAGAATTTGGAGTGTGTACGTGTAGATTCAGAGTAAAACAATGTACGTGTCTTAGAGGATGGGCATTTAAGTACAGATTGTGTTGTGGGACTTGAGTGCATTCTCCAACCACCTAAGCTTTACTTTCACAGTTGAGTTCTGCTGAACACGAGTGAGGATGCGTCTGTTCACCGTGAGCGTCTCTGCACTGCTGGTGCTGTTGTTTTCATGCACCACGTCTAAAGTTGTTGACAAATTCAGTAAATGCGATTACTTTTTTAAAAGAACGTCTCCGGTTATCCCTGGCATTCTAAATAATTCAGTTGCACAGGATGGATATAAAATAATCTGTCAACAATATAACAAACGTACCAGGTTTGCAACACTGTATGATATAAATAAGAGGATCCCTGTTTTCTCGGCTTACAAATACACCAGAAGACAAGAATTCGAGAATCTAAGAAAGACTCAATGGATGATCGAATCTCAGGTAATGTTGTTTTCATATGTTTTTAACTACAAAATAATTGTTTTACTTCTTCTTGTTCTACTTTAGTTCTTGTTTTTTGTTTGTTGACCAGTTCTTTCAAAAAAATAATCTTTCAATTATTTATATTCTATAGCTTGAACCTTCAAGTTATGAAACCAACGTGCCATTCATCAAGCAGGCTTGCAGTGGAGACTATCACAATAACAGCCAAAATGTGAGTGCCGGTCAGTTATTTCCAGCCTGTCATGCAGCTGATAAAGAAACTGCTATATCCACATTCACACTCACCAACAGCATCCCACAGAAGAACAACTTGAGGAAAGGCAGCTGGACTCGCATAGAACAACAGACTAAAGAAATCATGGACAATCACTGTCGTGACCAAAACAGCAAGACAATCTCAGCCTATGTGTTGACAGGAGCTTTACCTGGAGATGATCTTCTGAACAAAAGAGTCAACATTCCCTCTCATATGTGGATGGCATTTTGCTGCTACAACAGTACGGGGGGATCATGGTTCTCCAAAACTTATTGGGCAGAAAATGTAGGAAAAGATCCTGGGGAAAATATTAAACTCAAGAGCCTGAATGAATTAGAAATATTTCTGAATACAAATTGGAAGATAAAAGTACAGTTGTTTTACAGAGATTGTAATAATTAACCACTGAAACATACATAGGATAATGCAGAAACATAGTATCCTATTATGATATCTAACAAGCTTCTATCTTGACATCTAACAAGCTGTCCGTAATGAAAGGTTGTGCTTCTTAGTGTGTAAATGCTTTTTCTTCTTTATTAAAGCTTGCAGTTGCAAATGTTGGAGTACCAGAATCAGCTTGTGTGTGTGTGTGTGCATGATTGCAAGTGAGTTATAACACTAAATAAAAAGTAGAGAAGGCAAAAGTATGTGATTTAAAAAATGCCAGCAAATCTAATTGGACCAAATCGATATCCCTTGCTTATACAAATGTAAATTTTACTAAAATCTTGATGCTGAATTAAAATAGTTCTACCAGAAAGACTCAGTAGAATAATACTGTAACAATTAACCATTTATTAACAGCACCGCAGCAATATTATGATATAAAGTTCTTTAGCGTAGGCCCCGTCCACAGCTCACAATCCGAGGGTCCGGACTCTGGATTTCCTGCCTGAAGACGAAGCCAGGGGTGCAGCCGACCCCCTGTGAGGTTTGGGAAGGGACCATCCTGGTGGAGGTGGGGAGGATGGAGGTGAATGGAAGAGTCAGCATCTGCAAACTCAGACATGAGTAAGTACCTCTTTTATACCGCAAGTATTAGAACACGATTGGTTAAATGAGTACCGGTAGGTAAAAAGTGATGTAACAATTGAGTCTTCCTGGCAGAACTTATGCCAGCTTTCATTTAAATGACAACCACAAAAATGACAACTACATTTATTCCCATGCCTCAGGAAAGTTTTTATTATTATTATTATTATTATCATTGAGCAAAAAATAAAATAAAATACAAGATAAAATGTCTATAGCATGTGACCAGGAAGGGACATTTTGTCATGACCACGACATATTAACTTGTGGGGTAACACTTAGTTTAGAATACTATCCCGTCATTAATGAATAACTACGCAGTAACAAATGAGTAATGCACTGTTGACATTCATCTAACTACTAATAACTAACAAGAAACTCAGTAATAGTTTTAGTAAAACAGTAAAAGTTATAGCTCTTAGTCAAATGTGGTAGTTTATTATTAACTATTATTTTTTTCATATCTCACAGAGAACTAGTGAACACAAAGATCATAATTAATGTCAAGTAATGCATAATGTATAATTAATACTAAAGTGAAGGTAAAGCCGCTAATGACTCAAGTATTACATTCTTTAGAAGGAAATACTAATTATGTGGATCAGTTTTCTAAAGTGAAAAACATGACTCTTAAGTAATGACTGAAGTCATTGTAAGCTTTTGAGGTTTTGGATAGTAATTTATTTCCGGATTTGGTATTGAGTCATTACTGGGTTATCATGATCTTCACTTTAGAATACTGATCCATATAATTAGTAATTATTTCTGAAGGATGTAGTAACACTTAAATAATTACTATCCAAAACCTTACAAAAACCTCAAAAACTTACAATGACTTCAGTCATCATTACTAGAGAGTTTTCATGATTTTCACATTAGAATTCTGATCCAAATGATCAGTAATTCCTTCTGAAGGATTTGGTTATGCTGGAGTCATTACTAGTGTGTTATCATGACCTTCACTTAAGAATTAATTATATATTGTGCATTATTCACATTAATTATGAACCTGTATATGTACAGTAGTTCTTAGTAGTTCTCTGGGAGATATGAAAAAAATAATAGTGATTGATTATAGCTAATAATGAACTACCACGTTCGACTAAGAGCTATTACTTCATTCATTAATCAGAGTTTCTTGTTAGTTAATAGTTACTAGAATGTTAGTTTATCACTCATTTGTTTATGTGTAGTTATTTATGAATGAAGGAACAGTATTATAAAGTGTTACCACTCATGGGAACGTGATATACCACGAGAAAAAATAGGACATAAATGTAGGGAAAATATTTCTACGTTTGATACACATATAGCACAAAAACCGAGTTATAGATGTTAAATAAAATTCAGTATTATATTAATTTAAATTCATTTTTCAATAAGTTATTGTGTAATAACACAAGGTTTGTTCATTTTCATAAAGATAACAGAACATAATTGAAATTCAGTCATAGACATTTATATATGATGTTCTATTGATGCAAGGATTGATTGAGGGTCCAAACTGGTTTTGCAGTAGCATTTACATCATTCCTCTATCGAAGACAAATGTATGTCTTTTTGAAGATGACAATCAAAGATTAACAGTCAAAACTAGCAATATAAATGAATGAACCCTAACTGTAGGCCTAAATAAAGGTTCATGACCAAAACAAAAAATGAACATTGTGTGAAGTGTACATCTATACACCTCACTAAATTATTTTGGAAATGGTCCTCATCACAGGAATGAAACTCAAGGTCCAATTGTGAGTGCAGCAAGAAAGTTTATTTATGCACAGGGAAATTAAGCAAGGCAAATGGTCAGATTATGTTATGCAGAAGAATAGCAGGCACTAGCATGGAGACTGCAACGGGCAGAAGTAAATCCACACCAGGGGTGTGTTTCCCCTACAACGAAGTAACTCGCTGCTTAAAGACCATTGTACGATGCATCGTTGAAGAAATCAAGCAGCCAGTTACAACTGTTTCCCGAAACCGTATTGTCACAAATTTGGTCGTTCAACCACGTTGGTTAATGATGTCATGTACATGGTGGAGTGATAACTTCTTTTAATTAATCTGTTTGAGATCGAATTAATGCTAGATCTTTTGCTATAAATTACAGACATGGCATCTGAGGACTATTCATAATTTTTCTCAGTTATTTTGCCTTATTTCCTGATTTAATCTAGGCTTGTTCTTATATAGAGCACGGTCGCACATGCACACTCTTCAAAAACGCACACTTTAAATCTCTTGGAAATCTAAAAGACGTAAATGACATTTGTATGTATTCTAAATAAAAGATACAGATTGTACTGAATGTCAGCTTGCTTATTTGGCTCAAGATAAGGATTTATTGAATCCACATGTCATGCAAACAAGAAAGTATGCTTCTAACAACAGGTCGAGAGATGTTGTTCCAACCACACAACGTTGCAAGGCTGTTTGCGAATGCTGGTTAGAACGATGGTTTCGAGAAACGACGACTCGTTGAACTATGATGATAATGACGGAACTTGTGATGGAGTACCGCAAGGCTTAGTACTAGGTTCAGCCTGTGCCATTAGAAAGCATGGCATTAATTTTCACTGTTACTCTGATGATACTCAGATCTATATTTCTTCGCGCCCTGACAAAACATACCAACTCACAAAATAAACTGAATGCATAGTTGATATAAAAAATTGGAGGACTAGTAATTTCCTACAACTTAATTCTGAAAAAAAGGAGAGATTTTAAGTATTGGAGCAAAAACCTCCACACGTAGTAACCTAGAATACTGTCTAACACTTGATGGCTGCTCTGTCAAGTCTTTGTTGTTAGTTAGGAACCTGGGAGTGCTCTTTGATACCATTCTTTTTTAAATACACATTTTTCTAGCATCTGCAAAACCGCATTTTCCATCTTAAAAATATATCTAAATTACAACAAAAGCTCTCAATGATAAATGCAGAAAAGTTAGTTCATGCGTTCATGACCTCAAGGCTAGATTATTGTAATACTCTTATGGGTGGTTGCCCTGCACGCTTAATAAACAAACTCCAAATTAGGGCTGTCACTTTTGTGAAAAAGTCCTGTTCGATTTCTGAGACATAAGTGTTCATTGAATCGATTGTAAAATCGATTTTCCATGTCTAAAGACGTTTCCATTTTCAACACCAAATATAGGCAAATCCACGGACACCTAACAGGCATTAGGACGAGCGTAAAGAGGGCGCTTGAGACGCACAAGTCAGCAATATTTCTGATGATTTATTGGCGTGAAGTTTCGTGCACAATGACAAACAGGAGCGCAACATTCAGGGATTGAGATTAACACCCTCCGACCCGCCAAATGTGGGTAAAAATGAACTTTGGCGGGAAACGCTGTCAGATCACGAGCCAATCTGGCGTGTTTCTATGTTCACTCACTTTCTTTGCTGGGGAAGTTCGTGTAAGACAAATCTGTGCGGATTTAGCTCAAATACGCAACTCGTGATCCTCATGATATATTAAATACAGCGTATCGCACAGAATCTGCACATTTCTGGCTTACTTGAACACACACACACACACACACACGTCACTAAGCAACAAATAATGTTCACTTGCATTGAAGTAATAGCGAAGATTAAAAAGCATTTGGTTAACAGAAAAGGCATTATTTTCCAACATGTTCTGTGTACTCTATTGATCTGTCCACCTAAAACACATTTTTGGTAAAAAATAAAAAAATAAAAAAGGCCTTTAAAATCGATTCCCTTTTTTCGTTTTCGAAACTTGTGTTGGTTGGTCCGATCGATTGTGCAATCGATTTTCGAACGTAAAGTGACAGCCCTACTCCAAATATTCCAAAACACAGCAGCTAGAGTTCTTACTAGAACCAGGGAGTATATGATCATATTAGCCCGTTTCTGTCAACACTGCATTGACACCCTATTAAACAAATCACAAACATTAAAAAATTTGCTAATTATTTACAAAGCACTAAATGGTTTAGCTCAGTACTTGAGCGAGCTCTTGACGCATTATAGTCCTTTACGTCTATTGCAGTTTCAAAATTATGGCCAGTTGATAATACCTAGTATGTTAAAATCAACTGCAGGCGGCAGATCCTTTGGTCGCACTTTATTTTACAGTATGTGCACTTTCAATGTACTTAAAGTGTACTTACCCACAAAAGTACTCAGTAATAAAAGGTAAGTACATGGGTTAAGTTAATATTTCGATCAAAGAGAACAGTTAACCAATTTATTGTAATCACAAACTAAAAATGTGCTCATGCTCCTCATACACACCCACTGACATAAAGTTGCCATTTGTTGCCATTGTGAGAAAGTGCAAAACTAAAACATCTTGTGATGGTGATGGAATAGATATGAGCATTGTAAAAAAAACTATAG